TACTAATGGCACTGGGCAGGAAGGGGTTAACATATGGGGCGATCAAAGGGTTAACTGTGTGCTGTGTGCTGTGTTAGTGTTTTCAACTGTAAGCACACTGATTTGCATGCAAAGCAGTATGCAGGAGTTGACAGGGAGAGAACTGGATTGTTTACATACAGTTCTCTCTCCCTGTTGGTAATGCTCCTCAATAACCGGGTGCTGGAGAGTAATCACCGGCCGGGATCTGGTGATTGACAGTCGAGGCCGCGAATAGCGGCGCGGGTAGGGGGCGCATGTGCCCCCTACCCGGAAAATGCAAAATCACATATATATACGTGATTTTGCGTACCTGTGCCACCTTGTAGCAGTATATCTGCTATAGGGCAGTGGGAAAGCTGCACTATATATAAGAAGGCTAGGGTACAAAGTGATTTTTAACTACTAATGGAAACGTTATATAGAAGTAGTGAAGCTTGTAAATTTTTTTGTAATATATGATATTTGTACTTTTTGGGATAATTTATTCCTGCAGTTTGTGTAACATACAGTGTTCTTGTCAAGACAATAAGGTGAGTTCTGACAATCTACTATAAACTATTATGCATTAGTGATATTTGATGCTGAAGAACAGATTATTAAGTCCGTAAAAAAAAAAATGTCAGGAGAAATATATGTTGGTTGCTATTGTTGACCTCTTTTTGAAAATACTGGTTGCCTGGCTGTCTATGTATACACAGAACAACAATGATGTGCAAAGTCAGTACACATTAGCCATGAAGTAGCATAATGAGATCAGGAGCAGGTGAAATGAGATTGGTTGGCTGCTTCGGGCATATTTCAAAATGTTACTCTGCTTTGCACTTCCTTACTAAAAAGGACATCTCTCTCATACAAAATGTCCTGCCTTTTGAAGTACATAAAACACAGGAAGATGAAGTTACACAACAGAAGTTTAAGAATACACAACCACCCACAAGGTTGGAGCTACGTAGAATCTAGGATTCAAGACCTTTCTAATAAATTTAAATCTACTAATAGTAATGCCTTTTCTGCTCTTTTTTATTTTGATGATTGGTCTCTACTGCAAGCCTTATAACCGCCAGGAAACTAGCCCCTATCTCTACCCTGGAATCCCTGAAAAGCTTTGGAGGCTGAGTAAGCTAAAAGGCTAAGAGGCTGTATTGTGTTCACTGCCCCAACCTGGGCTAGTATCATTCAGATTGAGATGGAGTGGTGAATGAACACAGGGGGTTACAGCCCAAGCAGAATTCCAGGATGATCACAGCACTGTATTTAAATGGGAGTTGAAGTCACGACGCACGTGAAGCAACGCGTTGGTATGCCATTTCCGGTCACGAGGTACGTCATTTCCGGTCACGAGGTGACGGATGTCCGGACGCAGCGACCATATTGGTTTCTCCAGGCTTCATGCATTACACCCATGGGATGAGGTGACAGGCTGATGTACTAGGGGAATACATGTGAGTGAAATTCTTGTTTTGTATTCGTTTCTGCATTAAATATTGTTGCACTATGGAAGGATCTTTTTGTGTCTTATCTATATACTATTGAGTGGAGGTGGAGTGGAATAGGAATGCTGGGGGAGGAGTCTCCATTTACCGTGTGGTCCCTGGATGAACAGCATACTTATGAGGATCTGGTATAGAGGAGATTAATAGCCTTTTGGTCCTGTGTGGGTCAGTGTGTGGAGGTGAGCAGGCACTGCTGCCATTTGAGGATTTATGCACTAGAAGTGAAGATCACCTTTTCACACAGTTTTCACTTGCATGAACTTGCTTATATATTGATTACTCACGGATGTTTTTTTTATATTTGTGATTCACAGCTGTATGTTAATTTATTGAATAATTGTATAAATGATTATTTAGATTGAATATTATTTATACACATGGAATAGTTGTTATCACTATTCACTTTAAGTTTGTGTATGTATATCACCATAAGGATACACTTATGTTTATGAGTCATCTATCACGGAGCACTATTATGTAGTTATAAATGGCACTGTAATATGAATTTATTTAGTTATTTTTAGCGCTTCACTAATTTATGTATGCACAGCACTGTATTACTTACATAGGATCATAGCAAGTTCTAGATCCATCAACATCTGTCATTCTTGAAGAATTACCCATCAGTTATTAATCTGATAAAGTACAAACTGTAAACTATAGTGCGTCCTTTTTATCAATTCACAGTAAGTTTGTTGCAGTGATGTTGGAAGATGGCTTCAAACTGGTTGTTACAGTTATTGCACCTTCCACAATACCATTACTCTGCATTTCCTTATTGAAACCAGTTACAGAATTATCAGTTATATTTTCCATAAATTAACAAGTTGGTGGTAAATTAAACTAGAACTATAGGCAAAACTTTTTTTTTCATTTTGAATACAGTAAGGAAGGGTTGTAATCTCCATCAGTTTATTTTTTGCCATCTGTGTCCTAATCTACCATTGGGTAGATTTACCTTCACTTCCTGTCCAACAGCCAAAAACTGGAAGTGAAAAAATCTCTGCAAATTAAGGGAGTTCTTTTGGAACCTCCAAATCACCAGAAATAGGGTCCCCATTGGAAGATTTCCCCTCTATTACTTTCTGGGGACAACCCAAAGTTTGGAGTTTCTTTTACTTTCACTTTCAATGATAATGGTAAACAAGACAAATAGAGAAAGTGAATCTCCCTAACGGTGGCATAGGCAGCAATAAAAAAGCCTAACAGGTTCTAATTCCTTTCCACTTGGTCCAAAACAAAAAAAAAAACATTTTCCCTATCGTTATAATTTAAAATGTAATCATAATAAATGTAGTCAGTCATCAGTCATAATTGTAGTTACAGATATTCTGTTCCAAAAAATGCTTAATTTTTGACTTTGCAGTATCATAATTTATTTTTTAAATATTTAAACTTCTCTCATCTCATAATCATACTACATATCACGATTCTCTATAGGTAGAAAGTTCTCTTTCTTTAAGCTTACAGTCTAACATTTTTTCTGAACTATAGAAAATCACTTGGAGCACTACTGGAATTTGAAAAATAAAACTCAAGATGTCATAAATGTCCTTACCTGTAAAGTGATTTATGAATCTGTCTTTAAGGGTGGGGTCTCTGGAAAATATTTCTGAAAAATATTTATAAAAACTCATGTTAGTAGGGTTTTTGTGCCATTTATATAATCCAATCTATGTTTTGTCAGCCAATACAATTTTTTTGTAGTTACAGCATGAAGAAGAAGAAAATGAGTGTTTTCAGGGTAACTAGAACACAATGTTGAGAAAAGGAGCTCTGGGAACAAAACAGTGAATGAAATGCAAAATAACAAGACATGGATCTGCTGGAAAGTCTGCCTATACATAATATGGAAGTGATTAGGAAGTCATATAGAAAAGCCTAAGAAACCACTACAGTAAACATAAACTAATATGTGACAGACTTCACAGCTCTATTCTTTTAATGCTTCTTGTACTTGTAGGTAGAAGTAAGCAACTATCATGAAAAATGTATTCTAATAACTGTATTTAGTTAATATATGTCTTTTGTGTGTATTCCTTTTTTATTTTACAATTACAGTTTTGTTCATATTTTCCTACACTGCTGGCACACTCAAGAACACCAAGGCTAGCAAATTACTGTTCAAGGGTGCTCTGCGGTCATTTAATCTCAGTGCATGGAGCTCCAAATCCAAGATGGGGCCCATATAGCAGGAGAAGTATACAGCAGGTAGAAGAGGCTGTGAACCCACAGACAAGGTATCCACAGGCTTTAGACTTTAAAGTGATTCTAAAGGATGTAATTTAAAAAGAAATAAAAACATGTTATACTTAAGTGCTCTGTGCAATGTTTTTTTTCTTTTTGGGTCCCAGTCCTGGCTCCTCTTGCTAAGGGGGTAGTTAAGCAGGCTCACTTTATTTACTCACTGATTGTGGCTCGGCTCCGCTGCCCCCCCTGCTCACTTGTTATTGGCTCACTGGCTGTGATTGACAGCAGCAGGAGCCAATGAGGAGTGAGAGACCAGGAAGAGCCACTGCTGTCATACACATCACTGGATCGAGTTGGGTCTCGGGGGGAGCTGCACCCAGAAGGTTTTTTACCTCAATGCATAGAATGCATTAAGGTAAAAAAAAAACTTTCTACCTTTAGAACCATTTTAAAGGCTTTTAGACTCTAAAGCCTTTCAGCAGAAGAAAGCATGTAATTCAAAATATCTTTTAAAAGCTCAATATTTTTTTACACATGAAGAGCAGGCTGTCCAGAAAAGGTGGCAGTGACAAGAATTAAGGAAAACTATAGCATTACAATGGTCATCTTCCACTCACATGGTTTTGATAACTTCAGCTATTTGTGCAATTCTGGCCTGAGATTTGTTGTTCCCACAATCATGTTTGTGAGTTTTCTGCCTTGTGTTACTATTAGTAAATAGACCATTTTAATGCACTGGGTCGATGCACCCTAAGTTTGTTTTTGCACTCTGATAATATGGCAGCACTCAGCTTGTAACATACAATGCTTGGTTAATTTGTATTTTTGAACTGTTGCAGCCACAATAATTTATTTTCTTCTTGTTTGGCATATACAGCACATATTATTCTATAACTAAGAAACATTTATCCACTTGCCTACAGGGCACTTATACCCCCTTCCTGCCCAGGCCAATTTCCAGCTCTCAGCGCTGTCACACTTTCAATGACAATTGCACGGTCATGCAACACTGTACCCATATGACATTTTTATCATTTTTTTGTGACAGATAGAGCTTTATTTTGGTGGTATTTAATCCCCTCTGGGTTTTTTATTTTTTCTTAAACAAACCAAAAACCACAGAAAATTTTGAAAAAAAAAAAACGTTTTTTCTTAGTTTTTGTTTTTTTGTATTTTATAAATTGTGTAAATAAGTGATTTTTCTCCTTCACTGATGTGCGCTAATGAGGCTGCAGTGATGGGCACTGATAGGCTGAACTGATGGGCACTGATGAGGAACTGGTGGGCATTGACAGGCATCACTGATGGGCACCGAAAGGCAGCACTGATATATGGCACTGATAGGCGGTACTGACTGGCACTAATAGGCGGCACTGACTGGCACTGTTAAGTGGCACTGACTGGCACTGATAGGCGGCACTGATGCACACTGATAGGCGGCACTGACTGGCATTGATAGGTGGCACTGATAGGCGGCACTGACTGGCATTGATAGTGCCCTGATGATCAGTGTACATGTCCCCTTCCCGGAATGCCAATTGCCAGCTCTCCTCTCGAGCTGTCAGCGTGACAGCTCGAGAGGAGAGACATGCCGATAACCGGCATTTCCCTGTTTACATGTGATCAGCTGTGATTGGACACAGTTGATCACATGACGGAGCCGACATCTTCGGCTCTTTCTGTAGATCGGTGATCCACTGTGTCCGAGGGACACAGCGCACCACCGATCGCCGTGCTACACGCTCCGAGCCGTGCATGCGCGGTGAGAATGGGAGGATGTCATATGATGTCCTCCCAGAACGAGAGAACCACCTTGCGCCCATCATTGGACTATATGGTGGGCGGGAGGTGGTTAAAATGCAAAGCATATTATAATATGAAAGACATAAAGCTTTTACAAGTAGATTGGCCACATGACAAGTGGTCATATGCATGAAAGAAATAGGGATAATACCCTTCAGATTTAAAAAAAAAAAAAAGGTCATGCAGGCTAAATGACAACTTGGCATAAAAGTGCAAAATAAAGAAGCCTGATGTAATCTGGCTTTGTGAAAAATAGTGCATTTGATGTGCAAAGAGCATCAAAAATTATCTTTTAAACAGTGTGGTTGATTTACTAAATTTGGAGAGTGCAAAATCCGGTGCATCTCTGTGAAGAAGCCAATCAACTTCAAGGTTTTTTGTCAAAGCTTATAGTGTTACTAAAAGCAAAATAAAAAATTAATTAAAATAACAAATATGTAATACTCACCTGCTCTGTGCAGTGGTATTGCACAGAGAGGCCCCAATCTCCCTCTTCTCGGGTCCCCCGCCGGCAATCCTGGCTCATCCTCTTCTTTGTGTGTCTCCATAGCAAGGATTCCTGACCCGTGTGTCTACGGAGCAGCGCTCTGCAGACACACACTGCGGGACTTAGCCCTCCCCCCACTTCCTCTTCACTGCACTTGATTGACAGCAGCAAGAGCCAATGGCTCCTGCTGCTGTTTGAGTCCCTGAAGAGGAAGGGAGGGGAAAAGAGATGCAGCCATGCACAGAGCTGATCTTTTCTCACGTTTTTTCCCCATCACACAGGGAAGGGGGAGCATATGGAACATAAAAACATTTTTTACCTTAATGCAAGCAATGCATTAAGGTAAAAAACGTTTTTAGATTTAGTATCACTTTATTTGAACAAGCTGACGTTAGAAGCGGATTGGCTATTCATGCACAGTGGAACCAGATTTTGCACTCTCCAGTTTTAGTAGATCAACCCCAGTCTGGCTACAGTAGACTGAATTTTGAATACCTGCTCTATTAGATACTATGCATTCGGAACTGTTCTGCTATTTACTGTATATATATATTTATTTATTGAAATATATTTTGAAATATATTGAATATGGCCAAAATTGTAGCTATTCAAATATATGGCAATATATTTGGGAAGAATAAGTTTAAAATATATTTCAAATATATTTTTCTTCCATATGGTAAGGAGGAACTCTACTCAGGCAGGAGATACGACAGTATATGCTGGACCTTATAGGTTGACACTGAGCCAATATTTCTGCCCGTGCAAGGACAGAATTCAAATGAATAATAAAATTTGCAGCACTATTGGAAAGCCATCATCTTACAAATGTCCCATTCTCTACAACACATGGAAAAACTCTACTTCTCTGAATCAATTTATATAACATACAATTAAGATACATTAAATAAAAAGCATGAAAGACTCAACCAGTTTTATACAATATCATAATGTTGCCTAGAAATAAATGGCTTTTTGTGCCAAAAAGGTACTTTATTACATTATGTGCTATGAGCTACACAAGAAAAATAAAGAATTTTACATCCTTTGAAGGGTTAAACCAACCAGATTCCCGGTTTTATTGCCAAAGCCTAACTGAGAAAGCTGAAGTTAGAAGCCGATTGGCAACCATGCACAGCCACATAAGATTCTGAGTGCACCAGTTTTAGTAAATCTACCCCTTTGGATTTTACCTGGAGCTAATGACTATCACAGATATGTAAAATTGTTTTCATTCCCCAAAAGGAGCTATTATAAAAATGCTAAAATCTTATACCACCAATATACTACATCACACAGATTTTACCATAACTTAGTACTGCACTGGACAGATTAAACAATAGGGCAGTTTTTAGTAGCGCACAATGCATATATCTTTATGTATTTATTTGTGTTTTATTATTATCTTTTTGGCTTGTGGGAAAAGACATAAGCAAAAAAGAACATTCAAACTCCATGCACATAGAAAACCTGAAATTGAATACAGAAACCTTGCTTCTGACCGACAACTGCACTGGCCATTTAACCACCATGCTGCGCTATATCCAATGAAACAAGTATAATAAGCCCAAAAGAAGAACTAGAAGACAGAAACAATATTACTTGTCATGTACTGTCCTGCTTCACACAAAGGTTTTATTTTTTTTTTTTCATTTCATCATGTTAATCCTGATCTGACCTACTTTTAATCCTGAAATCAAGCTCAGACAGCAAAGGAGGATCTATTTTTATCTCAACTAGGAACTTTAGTAAATAGTAAAATGCTGTGTGTTTATTATGTAGTCTTTTGGAAAATAATTACTAGTCTGTACAATAATGCAGCACCCATCTAAGTTCGTTTCAGCCTAAGGCAATGTTCAGATGGGCACCAGATGCAGAATAGCATCTAACAGCCAACTGTTAGGGCAGAATTGTGCAAAAGTCTGAAACATTCCCCTTTCAGAAAACTAACAGAGCTCAATAGCAGTCATAGCCTAACGATGCATCAAACATTCAGTCGGCCAAACTGTGTTGCTGCACTTGTTAACCTAGTGTACTAAACTAGGATGACCAGAACATCAGAAGTCTGTGGGTGTTAAACTGTGGGGTGAATAATCAAATACATAGAATCCAAACAATGCCAGGAATTGTCTTGGATTCTACTGTGTAAGCCTGCAGTGAGAGAGCAGTGGAGCTGATGAATTATATAGCAGGAAATTTCAATTAATAGTTACATAGTTACATATTAAGTCTGGCTGAAAAAAGACAAAAGTCCATCCAGTTCAACCATAAAAAAAACAAAAATGTTATAATCCTATACACACAGTTGATCCAGAGGAAGGCAAAAAAAAACAAGCAAAGCATGATCCAATTTGCTTCTGCAGGGGAATAAATTCCTTCCTGATTCCCAGAGAGGCAATTGGATATTCCCTGGATCAACTTTAGATATACATGTTAATATCCAGTTATATTATGTGTATCTAGGAAAGAATCCAGGCCTTTTTTAAATAAATCCACTGAGTTGTCCAGAACCAACTCTTGAGGGAGTCTATTCCACATTTTCACAGATCTTACTGTGAAGAAACCTTTCCGTATTTGGAGATTAAATATCTTTTCCTCCAGACATAAAGAGTTTCCCCTTGTGCTATGTGATGACCTCAGGGTGAATATATGAACCACTGATGTATTTATACACATTGATCATATCCCCCCTTAATTTCCTCTTCTCCAGAGAGAATACATTCAGTTCCTCTAATCTTTCCTCATAGCTGAGCTCCTCCATGCCTCTTATCAGTTTGGTTGCCCTTCTCTGCACTTTCTCCAGTTCCCCAATGTTCTTTTTGTGAATTGGTGACCAAAACTGAACTGCATATTCCAGATGAGGCCTTACTAATGATTTGTACCGGGGTAATATGATATCTCTCTCTCTGGAGTCTATACCTCTTTTAATACAAGAGAGGATTTTGCTCGCTTTAGAAACCGCAGCTTGGCATTGCATGCCATTATTAAGCTTGTGATCTACCAGAGCTCCCAGATCCTTCTCCACCATTGATTCCCCCAGTTGTACCCCCCCATTATGTATGATGCAAGCATATATTCGTAGCCCCCAACATTAAACCTCATTTGCCACATAGTTGCCAAATTAAAACAGTGCATTGAGGTCGGCTTGTAAATTGAAGGATATTATTCTACTGCAATGCTTGGTGTCATCTGCAAAGACTGAAACTGTATTTTTAATCCCAGACCCTATATCATTGATAAATATATTAAATATATAATAGTGGAGCAGATAACATATTAGGGCTGATAGACAACATCTTTAGCTGCATAAAGAGGATTCTCTGCTGGAAGCAGACTTTATATTCCATCACTCCCAGTTGCTATAACTAAATACATTAAAGGATAACTCCACTGTTGTGGAAGAAAATAGCAAATAAAATATATATAAAGTATATATCATATACAATTGCTACACAAATCATATAGTCATTGAATGAGGTAGCACAGTGGATAAGTGGTTAGCATTTCTGCCTAACAGCCTAACAGTGCTAGGGTCATCAGTTTGAATCCTGACCATGGCACTACCTGCATGGAGTTTATATGTTCTTGTCTCTACCGTGGGTTTCCACCCACACTCCAGTGACATACTGGTAGGTTAACTGACTCCTGATCAAATTGGCCCTAAAAAAAAAATCACAGGTAAAATCCAGTGAGGCTTGTCAAGGTGCTGTCAGGCATTTTATAACTGGACTTTATTGTGGCATTGGTGCAGTAAAGGCTTCTTTCTGGCATCTTCACCATGCAGCTCATTTTTCTTCAAGTATTGTCGTACTGCGCTCCTAAAAAAAAAAAAACACACCATCTTTTTCCAAAGCAGCCTGTATTTCTCAGGCTACCTGTGGATTTTTCTTTTTATCCTGAACAATGTTTCTGGTAGTTGTGACTGCAATCTTTCGTGGTCTACCTGACATTGGCTTGGTGTCAAGAGATTCCTGAACTTTCCACTTCTTAACCTCCTTAGCGGTTTTCCCGAGTGTAGCTCGGAGTAAAATTTGAGTACCAAGAGCGGTAACCCCGAGCTACACTCGGGCTTACCATGCGGCATTGCTCAGGGGGTCCCTGCAGCACTTACCTTGTCCTTCGCTCCCGCGATGTGTCCCCTGCAGTGTCCCCGGCCATCTCCTCCGGCCGATGCCGGCATCCGGCTTCCGTGTTCCGGTCCCTGTGACATCGGGACGTACGGCGGGAAATTTGAAATTTTTAAAAAACTTCATTTTTGCTGTCATTGCTGTTTCAATGCATTTCACATATATTTTGGCCCTACTGCTTTGTCCTGTGCCCTGCCTGCATTTTGAATGTTCTTTCTGCCTGGAAACATAGAAAAGTCCATGGCGTCCAAAAAGCATCCCTTTACGTCAAAAGCGGTTTTAGAACAGCGATAATAAATCAGAACCACT